GCCCCCGCCCTTCATTAATTTCTTTGACTCCAACATTTCAGACTTTGCTAATAGCCCCTCTCTGGAAGCTCATTTACAGGCACTCCAGATCGTGCAGAGAGAGGTCTGGAAGCCACTTGCTGCAGCCTATAAGGAACAATTAGACAGACCAGCGGTACCTCACAGCTACCAGACTGGCGATACAGTTTGGGTCCGCAGACATCAGACTAAGAATCTGGAACCCCGCTGGAAAGGACCCTACACCGTGCTGCTAACCACTCCAACGGCACTGAAAGTTGACAGCATCGCGGCCTGGGTCCACTCCTCCCACGTAAAAGCAGCTCGTACGGAAGGAGATACAGCAGAACCGCTATGGAGGGTCCAGCGCTCTCAAAACCCTCTAAAGATAAGACTTACCCGGGGGCCCCATTGACTGGTTTATGGATCTTGTTGGGACTAGGGATGATAGTCCGGGGAGACAGCCCTCACCTGGTGGCCCCCACTTACCCCGGATTTCTGCCAGCTTGCAGCAGGATCAGAGATATGGGATATTCCTGATTTGCTACCTACACAGTTAAAGGACCGGGCAGGCAGCCGCTTTTCTCCTGGGGGAAAATTCGGCTGCGGAAGCCCTGAAGGAAGATGCTTCCTGGGGCAATTAGATTTCTATGTCTGTCCCCGGGATGGGCGGGAGCGAGACCAGCACCGACGCTGTGGAGGATGGGAAAGCTTATTCTGTAATGCCTGGGGATGTGAAACAACCGGGGATGCGTTTTGGAAGCCTAGCTCCTCATGGGCCCCCTAATCGTTATACTTTTAATCTTGCTTTTTGGGCCTTGTATCCTAAATCGCTTGGTCCAATTCATGAAGGACAGGCTGTCTGTCATCCAGGCTCTGGTCCTGACACAACAGTATCATCGGCTTAGACAGTTTGATCCCGAAGACATGGAAACCACAGCTAAATGAATAAAGGGTTTTATTCAGTTGATAGAAAAAGGGGGGGATGAAAGACCCCCACAGTATAGACAAACAGCTAAGCAGCAGCAATGCCAGGCTTAAACTTTGGAGCAACACAAGTAACATTAGAGCAGGGAAGTTCGACTTGAGAACAAGGGCGGAGAAGCCAGGCAAGATATCTGCGGTCAGCCGGTCAGCCATCTGGCCCCAAGCGATAAGGAACCCGCAGCTGGCCTGCTCTAATGAGAACATCCCGTTTGCTTAGGGAAACAGGAGGCCTATAGTCAGCACATGTGCCCAACTTAGAATATCAGTAATTCACAGAAGAGACAACTCCCCCTATGAAAGATCCCAGCTTAGCTGCTGTAACGTCATTTCACAAAGCTTTTGACGAACGACTGTAAGTGCAGAGTAAGGTCAGGGTCCCTGGCTGCAAAACAGGATATTTATATCCATAGATTCGGACAGGACATCAATTAACAGGATATCTGTTCCCATACATCTGTGCTGGGAGAGGAAAAACCACCTGTGCCCCTTGCCCCATTCCAACTGACCACTAACGATGCATTTGCTTCTGTAATCTGCTTCTGCTGCCCTCTTTCCTATAAAAAGACCTTCCCCCAGTCTGCAGGCGCGCTTGTCTCCCGAGAGACTAAGTCGCCCCAGGTACCTGTGTACTGAATAAAGCCTCTTGCTATTTGCATCCGAAGAGTGACTCGCTGTTCCTTGGGAGGGTCTCCTCAGCCTGAAAGACTGCCCACCACTGGGGTCTTTCACTTCATGTGTCCTAGGCAGGTACTCTTTCATTGTCTTTTTTATCTTTTAATTTTTTTTTCCAGGCAAGATTGCACGTAGCCCAGACAAGCCTTGAACTCCTGATCCTCCTTGTCTCCAATGCTGGGATTCCAGACCTATGCCACCCCACCTCGCTCCTTCTGTCATTGTTTTACATGTGTGTGTTGGTATGTGTGTGTTCTCAAATGTGCACACATGCATGCGAAGGCCAGGGAACGACTTTGTGGTTCCTCTAGATCAATGGTTCTCAGCCTTCCTGATGCTGTGACCCTTTAACACAGTTCCTCATTGTTATGGTTTCTGTCTTTTTAAGAGGCAAGCCACGCCCACTCCAGTTGACTCTGGGCCTCTCCTAGGCGCCATCTTAGATTCTCTTGGTCTCCTTCTGGCGGGGGCCCCCCCCTTTCTGTCTCTTTAAGAGGCAAGCCACGCGCACTCCAGGCGTCTCGGGGCCTCTCCTCGGCGCCATCTTAGATTCTCTTGGTCTCCTTCTGGCGGGGGGGCCCCCCCCCCTTTCTGTCTCTTTAAGAGTCAAGCCACGCCCACTCCAGGCGACTCGGGGCCTCTCCTCTGCGCCATCTTAGATTCTCTGCCCCCCCCCTACCGCCCACCCCCCTTTCCCTTCTCTCCTGTCTCTCTGTCTCTCTCCCTTCTCCCTTTCCCCTCCATAACCCCGTGAATAAATATTAAATCTTACTCTAATGTGTCTATCCATGTCTCTGCCTCCTGCCTGCCCGCCATGTTTCTGCCTGCCGCCAGGACCACGGCTGCCTGGCTGCCGCCTCATGGCCCCAGGGGAATTTGCAATGGCTCCGGAGCCCGGCAGCTGTCTCTGCCTGGGACTAGCTGCTCTGCAGGCTGAAGGGACCCACTCGGGACCCACCAGCATTTTTAAATCATAAAACTCATGTTGGGGTGACCCCCAAAAGTAATTTTTGTTGCTACGTCATGTTAATTTTGCTATTGTTATGAATCATAATGTAAATATTTTTGGAGATAGAGGTTTGACAAGGGGTTGCGACCCACAGGTTGAGAATTACTATTCTAGAAGCATCTACCTCACTCTTTGACAGGGTCCCTCACTGGCCCAGAGCTTTCTAAATAGGCCACGCTGGCTGGCCATGGAGCCCCAGGGATGTTCCTGACTTTACCTCCTCAGTGCTGGGATTATAAGTGTGTATCAGCAAGCCTGGTTTTTGTTGTTTGTCTTTTAATGCGGATTCAGGTTCTCATGTTTGCTAGGTAAGCGTTTTAACCAAATGAGCTATCTCCCCCGCCCCTCCTTCCATCATTTTTTTTTTGCTTGGCTGCATTTCTTTTAGCACTAGGGATCTTACTCAGGGCTTCACACAAGTTAGGGAAGTCTACCACTGGGCTATATCCCCAGCCCGTCCATCATTCTTTTTTAAATTGCATTTTCATATTCCTGAGTTGTGTGTGCATGTCTGTATAGGTGCATGTGCCTATAGTGACTACAGAGTCCAAAAAAGGATGCTATGGAGTTGGAGTTACAGGCAGATGTGAGCTGTTCAGTGGAGGTGCTAGAAACCAACTCGGGTCATCTGCGAAAGCAGTGGGGCTCTCAAACCACCGAACAACCACTCCAGCCAAAATAAATTACTTTAGTTGCCTGTGCGTGCATGTTTGCCTGCATCATGTATGTATGTACACCATATGCATGCCTGGTGACAGAGGACCCCTGAAAGAGGTACCAGTATAGAGCCATCCCCAGGTTCCTAAACTTACTTTTCCAGAAGTTTGTATAGTGGAAAACCTTATGGAGCTCAGGGCTAAAATAGCTCCTTCAAGAGCAGGTTTAGACCATTTTTCAGCCTCTTCTAAAACACTCCCCTTTCCTGGGACGAGAGAAATGGTCCAGTAGTTAAGAGATCTTGCTGCTTTTGGAGAAGGCCTGGGGTTCAGTTCCAAGCATCCACAAAGTGGCTCACAGCCATCTGTAACTTTAGTTCCAGGGGATCAGATGCTACCTTCTGACCCCTGCAGGCACACGTGGTGCAGATATACATTCAGGCAAATGCTTGAACATGTCAAATAAATAAATCTAAAAAATAGTAAAAGCGCTGCTCTTTCCTGCATTTGGATTGGTCAGCTGTGACACACATCCCTGTGTGTGCAACATTTACCTGGGCCCATATTACTGTTGCAGTCATGGGACTTTAGGGAGAAAGGAATCAATAACCTATCTCTCACTGCTGCTTGCTACATTATAAATAATAAAGTCCTGTCTCGACCCGATATTCTTTTGTCTTCTTTCAGCATCCATGAAACGATAGCAGGCTAACTTGTGTTAGCCCCTTCATGGTTCTATTTTGTGGAGCAGGGTCAAGACTGCGCGTTTATCTGTAGCTCAGGCAACCAGTCCTACCTCAGACTCTCGAATGCTGGCATTACAAATGTGAGCTATCACATCTGGAACTTCATATTCTATTTTTTTTTACATTGATAGCATTTTATTTGGATCAGAAATTTAAATGTAAATAGGAATCCACAAATAACTGGAGGGAAACATTGGTAAATTCAAGCAAAAATCTCAGGAGCCAAAAAAGGACTCGAGGCATAAAATACGATCTAGAATGACAAAGGAAAAACTCATACATATAGAAAACTTTATCATAAAAGTGGGCCACAATAAACTAACAAGACTTAATAGCAGAGGGGAAAAATAACAATTGTAGTAAATAGGTCTTTAAAATACTTTGCAAAGGTCTAATTCAAGTCAATAAGAAAACTGGACTAAATAGAGTCTTGGCAAAGGACATGAATACCAAAAAGCACATTCAAAATATTGCTGTGGAGAAACTGCACGTTGGTTAAGAGAAATTATTGCACAGCCACAAGGCCCTGAGTTCAGATGCCAGCACCGTGGAGCTAATCAGCTGTGCTTTGCAGCACTCTGGAGACCCCTCCTGGGGCAGGAGCAGACAGGAGGCTCTCTGGGGCTGCCGTCTGTCAGCCTACTAGTTGAGAGGTAAGAAATATGGGGATAGGATCCTGGATAGAGACAAATTGTCACCACAATGGGGATCACTGGATGAAAACAAACAGATGCCACTAAATGGAAATTGGAAACAAAGATGAATTTATTTGCCTGTCTGAAAACAAAGGACACATCTCTCAAGCAAAACATTCTGCTTATTGTACCTGAATGGACTGGTTACAGAGCAAAGGGAGGAAGGACACCAAAACTGGCAGCACACTGAGGTTAGATCTGCTGGGCTCAGAGGCTGAGCTCAGTCCTTTGTAACTGCTCACTGGACCATGTCACTTCTTTCGAGTGCAGGCTCCACTCCTGGCGTTGTCCAGGATGCTCCCGTCTGCTCGCTGTCACTCTGGTGGCCACTGGAACCAGCGGGCTTGAAGGAGGCCAAATCTTTGTTGAAGAGCAACCGCGGAAGCCCAGCATGGTTTATGCCAGTGACATCACCGTCCCTTCGCTAATCTCTTTCAGAATGGACAGGCCGTGTTTCCACTTCTTAGGGCAAAAGGCAAACAAACATACATGTGCCCTTACAAAGGCAGACTTCATGTAGGCAGACTATCCTTAAGAGTTACAAAGGAACAAAACAAACAGCAAAATAACACCTGTGTCTGAATGATGGCAGCACCACTACCCACAGCAGCCAAAAGATGGCAACAGCCCAAACACAGATAAACAGGTCAGGCCATACACAGGGAATGTGCCAAAGAGGCTCCAAGTGCCGGTGCATAGTACAAGACGAATACACATCAAACACATGCCAGGCAAAAAGGCAGACACAAGATGTACAACGTTGTACCAAACACTGTATAAGTCATACACTATAAACACTAAGAACAATTAAATCTATAGGGCCACAAAGCAAAGTGGCTGGGGGGAGGGGAGGAAGCCTTCCCCCTTTGTGCCTAAGAGGCCCGGGACTTCTTTTGAAGTGCCGAGCATGGTTGGCATACAGACAGAGGGGCTGACTGCACAGCGCTGCCAATGTCATAAATGCGAAAGGATCACGGTAACGGAAATGTTACCTTGGTGTGGGTAACCCTACAGAACTGATCACCCCTTGACTCTCTCCTGTTTTGGATGTGAGCCTAGCCTTTAAGGGCCAGGCCATCTCTCCAGCCCAGCACACCTCGACTCTCTGAAGGGAACAGATCAAAAAGAGATGGAGCAGTTCAGGTCATTGAAACAGGAAAACTGAAATGAGCTGAACAACTGGGGAAGGATAAACGGGGGTGGGGGAGGAGGAGGAGGGGGAGAGGGGAAAAAGGAAGGAAAAGGGGAGGAAGGGGGGAAGGGGAAGAGGGGGAGGGGGGAAGGGGAAGAGGGGGAGGAGAGGGTAGTGGGAGGGGGAGGAGGAGTAGGGGAGAGGAAGGGGGAGGAGGGGGGAAGGAGGAGGGGGGAAAGGGGAAGTGGTAGAGGGGGAGAGGAGGGGGAAGGGGGAGGATGGAGAAGAGGAGTAGGGGAGAGGAAGGGGGAGGAGGAGGAGGAGGGAGAGAAGGAGGGGGAGAAGGAGAAGGAGGACGACAGTCCACTTTACAGCTCAGAAGGCTGTGGGCACTGGAGAAGCAGAGCAGTAAATGTTATTTCCAAGTGCTTATTCCCTTGGTGCAAGTATCCTAGAATGTTCTAAAATAGGTAAATGGCCTCCCAAGGAGCACCACAGCAAGCCATCCCAGACTGCCTCTTCCAGGCCAGTGGCAGGGTCTGGAGGAGAGCTGGGGCTGGCCAGAGCCCCGAGTGCTGGGAAACCTTCCGAGGGCTGGGAGGGCCATAAACAAATCTGCCACCGACTCCCTTGCACAGGGTGCCTGTCTAGGGCAGACACATTTCAGTGTGACGACTTTCCTTTGTTCTGGTCTCCTTTGGGATTAGTTTTGCCAGCGGGCTCGCAGCAATCGCATTTCAGATGCTGCATGCAGGCCTTTTAAACTAAGAAGGACAAACTAAGTTCTCCTGAAAGACATTTCTCCTGGTTCACAAGTCAGTTCCTTACATATTTAACAGGAAAATCATTTTTACAAATCTGTCACAAGGCACAACATGCACGAGCCTTGGGGACATCATGTCAAGTGAAAAAGACTGTCTGATATAATAGGCACCTCATGGTTCCACACATGTGAGGTACTGGGAGCACTCAGACTCCTGGAGGCATAAGCAGCCAGGGGTGGGGACAGGAAATGGGGGATTTTATGGTTTAGGGGTGCAGCGTTTCAGTCCCGAAAACAAATGAATTAGTTCTAGAAGCACGTGGCACAGCTTTGGGATTGTGCTTTCTAATACTGAGCTGTGACTATAAAATTGTTAAAACAGCCTCAACAGTGGTGGCGTAGGCATACCTTTAATCTCAGCACTCGGGGGGAGGCAGAGGCAGGAGGATTTCTGTACACTTAAGACTGGCCTGGTCTACAGAGTGAGTTCCAGGACAGCCAGGGCTACACAGAAAAACCCTGTTTTTGCTGGGGAGGGGGGCGGGTAGGGGTGGTGAGAAAAAAAGCCATTGAAGACAAAACTCATTCCAAATTTTTTGTTAAAACAGCAAAATGTGTGTTTGTTTTTAATCATCATTTACAATAAGCCTCTCAATTATTGCTAAGTTATGAACTTAAAGTATATTGTTGCAATTAAAAAAACATATGAAGTTTATGTGCTTGGGAGTTTTGCCAGCATATATGCATGTGAACCATGTAGGTACCTGGTGCCCATGCAGCTAAGAAGAGGGCATCATATCCCCTGGCACTGGACTTCCAGTTGGTTGTGAGCCACCATGTCGGCACAAAGAACTAAACCCCGCTCTTCTGCAAGGCCACACATTTTCTTAAGCACTAAGCCATCGCTTGAGCTATTTTATTTTTCAATTCTATTTATGTGAGAGGGACACATGCATGTGTGTCCCCTCAGAGGCCAGAAAAGTGTCTGTCAGAATTTCTGGAGCTGGAGGTGACTGAAGTGGGGGCTGGAAAGCAAACTCCAGCCCTTGAAAGGGCGGCAAGTACTCTTAATTGTGGAGCCATTTGTCCAGCCCCTTATGACTGCACTTTGAATGTTTATCTAAATGACAATCTGGAATTACTAAAGATAACAAATTTCAGATGTGAATTCACACTGGGACACTACAATAAACACTCCTTTATCAAACACAAGGAGCAAAATAAGCAAAACAGTCCTAGGTTTTAAAATTCCTTCTCTGTTTCTACGCAAAACTTTGGGCATTGAGCTTTTTACTTTTGCATTTTAAGCAGTCACATACTGACACATTCCAAACACCAACAAAAAAATAAAAACTAGGAATGATTTAGCTCAATACTGGTACATTTTACAGAGAAGTAAGAGTCAGGACCTTGGGGGGTTTGGTTGCCCTCCCGTTCCTCTATCACTGGGTTCGCTAGATGCATTCCCACGTGCATAGGACCGAATGTCTGCTCTGGACACAGTCACTATGCGTGGTATGATTCGCACATGCACATTCTGGGTCTGCCCCTGCCTCTGCCCCTGCCGGACCATGATAGCAGAGACCTGGAAGCCCTGGGCCCGAACATTCTGCCTGTGGCTCTGTGGGGTGGAGCTCACCCGAAACACCACAGACCTCTGGGTCTGTTGAACCACTCTGGGCCCCTCACTGTTAAGGCGACTAGTTTGCTGATCTGGCAAGGACACCTGCTGAGGATTAGACCCTTGGGAGGAAGCTGCTGGCCCTGGCTGTGGCTGCTGGGGGACAGGGGCGCTGGGTGGTTGCAGCTGTTTTGGAATCAATACATATGTCTGCTGTGGAAATTGCAGTGGTCTCTGGGATGACATCTGAGAGTCTGTGTGCATAATGAGAGAGCCAGGGGGAGTCCTTACACTTATGGGATTTGCTGTATTATTTATAATGAGTCGCACAGGTGGCCTCACGGTGCACTGTGCTGGCCTAGGTTCTCTGGCTGGAATGTGGCTATTATGACTGGTTCCCTCAGCAGCTGGGGCGCTAGTGAGGCGGACTGGGACCTGGGTTGAATTACCCACCATAGTAGACCTTACCAAACGGATCACGCGAACACGAGTGGTCCAAGTGGGGGGCTGGATCTTGGGGTTGTTTTCTGATGACCTAGCACTGGGTTGGCCAGCTGGAGGAACTCTGCTCATTCCCACAGTGGTCCGCTGAACCACCCTGACTGCTTGAGGAGCAGGAGGCGGGTCTCGCCTGGCCTCTGGTGTGACGGACCTGAGAGATGAGGGGCCCTGTCTCGAGATGGGGGCCAGTGACACCAGTAGAGGAATTTTGCTTTCCTTCTTTAAGGCTGACAATGACACTAGACTGGCTGTGGGCTTCTTCCCTGGGGTGGGCTGAGGAGGCCAGACTGAGCTACTAGGCCGCTTCTTCCCTGGGGTGGTCTGAGGAGGCCAGACTGAGCTACTAGGCCGCTTCTTCCCTGGGGTGGTCTGAGGAGGACAGACTGAGCTACTAGGCCACTTCTTCCCTGGGGTGGTCTGAGGAGGCCAGACTGAGCTACTAGGCCGCTTCTTCCCTGGGGTGGTCTGAGGAGGACAGACTGAGCTACTAGGCCACTTCTTCTCTGGGGTGGTCTGAGGAGGACAGACTGAGCTACTAGGCCGCTTCTTCTCTGGGGTGGTCTGAGGAGGACAGACTGAGCTACTAGGCCACTTCTTCTCTGGGGTGGTCTGAGGAGGACAGACTGAGCTACTAGGCCGCTTCTTCCTTGGGGTGGGCTGAGGAGGACAGACTGAGCTACTAGGCCACTTCTTCTCTGGGGTGGTCTGAGGAGGACAGACTGAGCTACTAGGCCACTTCTTCCCTGGGGTGGGCTGAGGAGGCCAGACTGAACTACTAGGCCACTTCTTCTCTGGGGTGGTCTGAGGAGGACAGACTGAGCTACTAGACCACTTCTTCCCTGGGGTGGGCTGAGGACAGACTGAGCTACAAGACCACTTCTTCCCTGGGGTGGGCTGAGGACAGACTGAGCTACTAGGCCACTTCTTCCCTGGGGTGGGCTGAGGAGGCCAGACTGAGCTACTAGGCCACTTCTTCTCTGGGGTGGGCTGAGGACAGACTGAGCTACTAGGCTGCTTCTTCTCTGGGGTGGGCTGAGGAGGCCAGACTGAGCTACTAGGCCACTTCTTCTCTGGGGTGGGCTGAGGAGGCCAGACTGAGCTACTAGGCCACTTCTTCTCTGGGGTGGGCTGAGGAGGACAGACTGAGCTACTAGGCCACTTCTTCCCTGGGGTGGGCTGAGGACAGACTGAGCTACTAGGCCACTTCTTCTCTGGGGTGGTCTGAGGAGGCCAGACTGAGCTACTAGGCCACTTCTTCCCTGGGGTGGGCTGAGGAGGCCAGACTGAGCTACTAGGCCACTTCTTCCCTGGGGTGGGCTGAGGACAGACTGAGCTACTAGGCCGCTTCTTCTCTGGGGTGGGCTGAGGACAGACTGAGCTACAAGACCACTTCTTCCCTGGGGTGGGCTGAGGAGGACAGACTGAGCTACTGGACCCCTGTGTCATCTTGCTGGGACAACTAGCTTGGCTCTGGACAGCCTCCTGGCACATAGGCACTGTCTTCCTTGGCTCAGTGTTTATCCCTGTCAGGAAATCATCTGAATAATCACCCAGGGCAACAGGAGGGAGAGACATGGCGTTAGCACTGCTGCCCTCTGGAAGTGGCTCTATTTCCTCATTGAGAAGCGTATTAAGGCACTCCATGATATCTTCATTCCTATCCCATAGCTGACTGTCATCCTCACAATCAAACATACAATCATATTTTACCTCAGGAATTGCTGAGATGGTTGGTTCAGTCTCATCAAAGGGCAGAGATAGCAACTCTTTAACAAAGCTCTCCAAGTCCATCTCTGAAGGCACAGTCAGTTCACAGGGACTCTGGTTGCATGTTTCTGTTCCATCAATCTGCAGGTCAGATGGGTTATCTGGACTTATTTTTGCCTGCTTTTTGCAAGGAGTGGTTGTCATTAAGTCAGGGGGACAAGAACACCCAGATGGTACCTCCTCTTGATCCAGAGAGGGGCATGCATGCCTCTTGAAGCATTGCCGCATGGGGTTAGTGTTCATCTTCTGCTCATTAAACAGCAATTTGTTGGCCATGCAGGTGACAGCAACAGAAGGATCCAGACACAGTGGCTCTGCTGTAGCTAAGATCAGTTGGCTCTCAAGCTCCTGTTTTGCTTCCTGGGTCCACTGACTGCTGTCACTTGTCATGGACTCGACATCGCTTACTAGAGACTGCATCGTTGGACGTAAGAGAATATGCCGGACTTGGCAAGCAGGAGAGGACACAGCAGCCTCTGCAGCAGGCTCCTCGGGAGGGTAGATGTCACCACACTGCCTGTAGTCTCGGATTTCTGCTATGACACAGCCACTGTGAAAAACATTCACAGGAGACTTTTCCAGAATATCAATCAGAAAGGAAGGTAACTCTTCAGCATCCAAATATTCAAGCAGTTTCTGTCCTACATACGGCCCTGGATAGGGCTCTATAAGGACTCCATCTTTATCCTTGAGCATGAGAGAATAGTCCTGGTTTTCTGGGTACAGGCTGACCACTAAACATGGCAATGGCTCTCTCTTCATAAGCTTCTCTAGCAAGTTGACATTGCTTCGAAGGCCCTCTGCTTCTGGCTCCTTTTCACACTCCTCCACATAAATGTCATACAGTTTTTCCTGAAGAGATTTTTCCCCACAAGACGTGGGTTTCAGTGGAGGGGGTTGCTGCTGAACAGTCTCATCGCCCCCCTCCAAAGTGTCCTGTAAAGTTTGTTCCATCCTAATAGAAAATCGGGGCCCTTAAAGAAAAACAAAAAGTATTGGTGAACAGGTAGAAATCATGGCAGTTCTATCAACGGTGAGGCAAAACTTTACAACTCTGTGTAGGAGTGTACACTTTGAATTTAATACGGACCCCAAGAAACCTGCCTCCCGTTGGTGTGATGCAGATGCTGCCAATTCCTGTACTGTATTCTGGGGGATTAGATTCTGGGGGATTAGGCATGGGCAAACCAGTCTGGGCTGCACCGAGAGACCCTGACTTAACTGCGAAGACAAGCCAAAGGAACCAAGAGCTACATTTAAATTTGCAAGTTTTTTTTTTCAGGACAGGGTTTCTTTGTGTAACAACTCTAACTATCCTGGAACTAGCTCTTGTAGACCAGGTAGACCAGGCTGGCCTTGAACTCAACAGAGAATCGCCTACTTCTGCCTTCTGAGTGCTGGGGTTAAAGGGCACCACCTCCACCCGGAAAAATTCCCCAAGTTTTTATTATGTACACAACTTTCTGCCTCCATTTATACCCACACGCCAGAGGAGGGTGCCAGATCTCTTTACAGATGGTTTGGAGCCACCATGTGGTTGCTGGGAATTGAACTCAGGACCTCTGGAAGAGCAGACAGTGCTCTTAACCACTGAGCCATCTCTCCAGCCCTTCCCCAAGTTTTTAAAAAAGCATTCGTACCTTTGGCACCCACTGTCAGTGTGTCGTCCTGGTGCGCTGTGGTGGAAAAGCTGTCCTGGACCAGGCTGTCCTCGAACTAACAGATTCGCCTACTTCTGCCTCCCGAGTGCTGGGGATAAAGGGCACCACCACTGCCTGGAAAAATTTTGCAAGTTTTTAAAAGCATCCATACCTTTGGCGCTCACTGCCAGTGTGTCAGCCTGGTGCGCTCTGTGCTGGTAAAGGTATCCTGGACTAGGCTGGCCTCGAACTAACAGAGAATCTCCTACTTCTGCCTCCCGAGTGCTGGGGTTAAAGGGCGCCCCCACCACCCGGAAAAATTCTCCAAGTTTTTAAAAAGCATCCATACCTTTGGCACTCACTGTCGGTGTGTCGTCCTGGTGCGCTGTGGTGGAAAAGCTGTCCTGGACCAGGCTGTCCTCGAACTAACAGATTCGCCTGCCTCTGCCTCCCAAGTGCTGGGTTTCAAGGGCGCCACCACCGCCTGGAAAAATTTTGTAAGTTTTTAAAAAGCATCCATATCTTTGGCACTCACTGCCAGTGTGTCATCCTGGTGCGCTCTGTGCTGGTAAAGGTATCCTGGACTAGGCTGGCCTCGAACTAACAGAGAATCTCCTACTTCTGCCTCCCGAGTGCTGGGGTTAAAGGGCGCCCCCACCACCCGAAAAAATTCTTCAAGTTTTTAAAAAGCATCCATACCTTTGGTGCTCACTGTCGGTGTGTTGTCCTGGTGCGCTGTGGTGGAAAAGCTGTCCTGGACCAGGCTGTCCTCGAACTAACAGATTCGCCTACTTCTGCCTCCCGAGTGCTGGGGATAAAGGGCACCACCACCGCCTGGAAAAATTTTGCAAGTTTTTAAAAGCATCCATACCTTTGGCGCTCACCGTCGGTGTGTCGGCCTGGTGCGCTCTGTACTGGAAAAAGAACAGGCTGGCCTCGAACTCACAGAGATTCGCCTACTTCTGCCTCCCAAGTGCTGAGGTTAAAGGCGGGAGCCACCACCGCCAGGAAAAATTGTCCTAGTGTTTACAAAAGCGTCTGTACTTTTGGCGCTCGCTGCCGGTGTGTCGGCCTGGGGCGCTCTGTGGTGGAAAAGCTGCCCTGGAGCAGGCTGGCCTCGGACTCACAGAGATTCGCCTGCCTCTGCCTCCCGAGGGCTGGGGTTAAAGGCGGGCAGGCGCCACCACCATCGGGAAATATGGCGCTCGCTGCCGTTGTGTCGGCCTGGGGCGCTCTGTGGTGGAAAAGCTGCGGGACTCACAGAGATTCGCCTGCCTCTGCCTCCCGAGGGCTGGGGTTAAAGGGCGCCACCTCAGCCCGGCAAATTTTGCAAGTTTTTAAAAGCATCCACACGTTTGGTGCTCGCTGCCGGTGTGTCGGCCTGGGGCGCTCTGTGGTGGAAAAGCTGCCCTGGAGCAGGCTGGCCTCGGACTCACAGAGATTCGCCTGCCTCTGCCTCCCGAGGGCTGGGGTTAAAGGGCGCCACCTCAGCCCGGCAAATTTTGCAAGTTTTTAAAAGCATCCATACCTTTGGCGCTCTTCGTCGCTCACTGCAGGTGGGTCGGCCTGGTGCGCTCTGTGCTGCAAAATGGACGTGCAGGGCTGACGGGGCTGACGAGCGGCAAGCTTGCCGCGTCGTCTTCCTCCGTCGCCGTGCACGCTGAGGTGGGTCGGCCTGGTGCGCTCTGTGCTGCAAAATGGACGTGAAGGGCTGATGGGGCTGACGAGCGGCAAGCTTGCCGCGTCGTCTTCCCCTGTCGCCTTCTGCACGCTGAATGCCGCGCTCGGGCTCGCCCTCCTTATATAGCCTCGTGGGTAGGCGTGTCCCTTTTCAAACTTCCTTTCCAGGGCCCGCCCTGTTTCCGCAGGAGAGGCGGGAAGGTTTTGGGGGCTTGAGCGCGCGTAGCAAATTTTTTTGTTACAGTTTCGATATCCACCATTTCACACCCGAACAACTTGCAGAGTCATCGTGCACCATTTTATTTGTCTGGGTGGGCCCTTTAAGAACCAATCTGTGAGCCGGGCGGTGGTGGCGCACGCCTTTAATCCCAGCACTCGGGAGGCAGGCGGATCTCTGTGAGTTCGAGGCCATCCTGGTCTACAAGAGCTAGTTCCAGGACAGGCTCCAAAGCCACAGAGAAACCCTGTCTCGAAAAACCAAAAAAAAAAAAAAAAAGAACCAATCTGTGGGAGGAAGAGGTAGACAGATCTCTGGTAGTTCGAGGCCAGCCTGGCATACATAACCAGTTTGAGGCCAGCCTGGCCGTACAAGTCACCTGAGGGTCTCTCTCTCTCTCTCTCTCTCTCTCTCTCTCTCTCTCTCCCTGCCTCCCTCCCTCCCTTCCCCCCCCCCTTTCCTCGAACCCAGAGATCCACCTGCATCTACCTCTGAGACTACAGGCATGCGCTGCTACCACCCTCCAGTGAGACTATGTCTGTAAAAAATAATGTGATTGCCCACATCTTTAATCCCAGCACTCGGGAGGCAAAGGCAGGCAGATCTCAGTGAGTTCGAGAACAGCCTGGTCTGCAAAGTGAGCTCCAGGACAGTCAGGACTGTTACACAGAGAAACCCTGTCTCGAAACAAACAAACAAACAAACAAATCTGTATTTGGAATCTATTGTCGCCATTGTTTAGGCTGCTTCTGATACCCATTTGGCATACCTAAGAAAGTCACTGTATGCTTGGTGTGAGTGATACAATTCTGCCGAGAGGGACCTTGGCAGCTGGTGGCTCTAAATCGTGGCAGGTGAGAACCCACGGCGGTGAGGGACAGACATGCCAGGTAGACAGCACTTAAGTGGAGAGTTTTATTGAGATAAAGGGACTGGGGGAAGGGAAGGGAGAGAGAAAGAGAGAGGGAGAGGAAGAGAGATGTAGAGAGAGAAAGGCGAAGAGGAGGAAGTGGGAGAGGCAGGCAGAGTTCCGCCTTTTAAAGGGACAGGGTACGGGCCTTCTAACAAGCAGGTGTGAGGCACCCTATAAGGTCCTCAGCGGGTGTGGCCATGTTCGCCCGGATGCTAAGAGTGAGTTATCACAAGGCTTCTTCCTATTCCTGCCCCAGGCTTTTCATATAGCTAGACACATAACATGGCATTCTTTCTTTTTCTTTTTTTCTTTTTTGGTTTTTCGAGACAGGGCTTCTCTGTGTAGTCCTGACTGTCCTGGAACTAGCTCTTGTACACCAGGCTGGCCTCAGAGAGGTCCGCCTGCCTCTGCTCCTGAGTGCTGGGATTCAAGGCGTGCGCCACCATCGCCCAGTAACGTGGCACTCTTTTTTTTCCGAGACAGAGTAACGTGGCGTTCTTATTCACAACTACTTAGCTTTTATTTTCCTATGTGTTTCTAGTTTTTCTTTTCTTTTTATTATTATTTTGTGTAGGGTGTTTTGCCCACGCGTTTGTTTTTGTACCACACATGTGTAATACCCTCGGAGGCCAGAAGAAGGCATCAGATCCCTGTGGGCCTGGAGTTCCAGAGGTTGTGAGTGGCCAGGTGGGTGCTGGAAATGGAACCCAGGTTCTCTGGAAGAGCAACCAGAGCTCGTGATTGCTGAGCCATCTCTCCAACCCCAGCTTTTCTCTTTATTTCTTTTTTCTTTTCTTTTCTTTCTTTCTTTTTCTTTCTCGCTCTCTCTATTTTTTTATGTTGTTAGATTTCTTTGACTATTTATAGAATCTCATTTTCCAATCCTTTTGTTGCCTTGAAATTTGCCAGTTCTTTTTTGACAGATGTTTAGATTCTCTAATGTTTAGATTTACATACAGCAATGACACCAATATTCACTGTAATTGCCTATAACAACAAGAATCCAAGATAAGTTTGTGAAGTCCCAGAAGTAGGCAGATTTATAATAAATATATATATTTTTTGGTTTCTTTGCTTTGTTTTTGAGACAGAGTCTCACTGTACAGCCCTGGCTGGCCTGGAACTCAACATGTAGATCAGTCTGACCTCAAACTCACAGAGGTCTGTGTATCTCTGCCTAAGGAGTGCTGCACTATCATAACGGTTTTTTTTAAAAAAAAAAAATCAGTGGCACACGGCTTTAATCCCAGCACTCTGGAGGCAGAGACAGAAGGATTTTTGTGAGTTCAAGAGCAGTCTGGTGGTATACAGAACTAGTTCCAGGACAGTCTCCAAAGCTACAGAGAAACCTTGTCTCAACCCCCCCCCCAAAAAAAAAATTCAGTAGGAATTGTGATTGTTATACATTATCATAGATACATTATATTTGGTTGGATTGAAAGTTCTTTGCCTGAGCACATTAGAGCTGACCATGCTCACTCTGTGTGTGTGTGTGCGCGCGCAC